GCGTAGTGTGGTGAAGTGTGGCCAGGAGTGAAGCAGCAGGTGTGGCCAGGAGTGAGGCTACAGGTGTGGCAGCAGGTATGGCCAGGTAGAGCTGTGTAGCCATATCACCGTCTATATAGAGAGAAGGAAGAGAGGCTTTGTGGGTGCCCAGAAATGTCCAGTGATTCGAAGCGTTAGTAATTAAGAGACTGACTGTCTGACACTCCCCCGGTGTGGGCGAGGTGTGTGGTGTGTTATACGAGCAGTTTAATGGCCCGAATGAAGTGGTCACTCATCGCGGGGGGGGGGGGGGAGAGGGCGAACTGGGGACCACCACCCAGGTGCTGTGGTTGTGTGACCTGTCAACTTCTAGAGGCCACCACAATAGAAAATTGACCAACCAGCAAATGGCTTCGTATCATCGTTGCTGGTGTCGCTACCAGTTCGCAGGCAAACCTGTTGTCTACCTGAAGTCGGTATCAAGATTTCTTATACTCTCCAAGCCCAAGAGGCAGCCGTGCTTCTCTGGAGGTAACTTGGTCCTTGTCTGGAAGCTCCTCATATTCAAGCACGTGGAAATGACTTCATTATTTGACATTCTTCTAGGTCATTCACACCTGAGGCCTATATACACACTCCTTGCACTCAGGGCGTCGAGGTCCCACCACACTGGTACTCCTCTCGGTATCCCCGTGGCATTACTTTTTGTTTGCTACTATTTGTACTGTTCTCTGTTGATCATACTTCTAGTACTATAGTTTGTGGCAGCTGCTTCTTATACTACTATTATTTCTAATATTCCCTCGTCACGAACGTCTTATCTCTCTCCCTTTCCTACCACCCCTCTCCCCCGTCCTTCTCTCTTCCACTAAGATGCACTCTCTGTTCCAGGGCGAAATATATTGGCCATAATGGAAAGAAAATGCCGTCGTTTGTGTGGGAGGTGCGAGATGTGTCTGTGGTTGTCGTGGTTGTGGTCGTGGTAGTGGTTGTGTTTGTGTCTGTGGTGGTCGTGTCTCCGTCTCGTTCTCCTGGGTCGTGGTGTGGGTCCAGCTTCACACCCTGTAGAGGCGCCTGTGGGGACAGTATAGGAGATCAACGGACAGGGAGAGAGAGAGAGAGAGAGAGAGAGAGAGAGAGAGAGAGAGAGAGAGAGAGAGAGAGAGAGAGAGAGAGAGAGAGAGAGAGAGAGAGAGAGAGAGAGAGAGAGATCACACACAACACATCAAGTCACTCCCAGGAAATACATTAACACAAGCACCTCATCTTTATCTACTTCATCTGACTCTCCTGATCTGAGCAGAAACGAGTTTAAGATCAGATATCATGTAATGGCTTCCAGCATGATACTTGATCCCCTGCCAGAATGTAGATTCACCGGTAATTCCATCAGTGTAGCTCCGTCAAGTGTCTTAAGTCAAGTTTCCGTCAACAGAGTTATGTCCCGTATTCCAAGGCAAGTAGGGGGACACAAGTATTATCCTTGACAGTTAAGTCATTCAACTTGAAGGTGTTATTGGTGTTGAGTGCCTTCAAGTGCATTCCTCTTGAACGATCACATTAATATCAAGCCTGAGAATGTTGTTCATAATTATTTTTTTAAGTGCTTTCATAAATTTTATGGTCAACAAGCAGCATGATAGCAGACATTGCTTGGAAGTTATGGTTTATATTCTGATTGTGAAGTGAATGTAGCCGTCACCAGGGACAATATCACTGCTCATGGTGAAGACAGTATCACCAGGGACATACACAACTACACTGAACACAAAACAGTCCATTAATTTATGTACATAATGCAAGTTATATCACTGAACAGTTGCCAGACTTACGGACCAAGACACTCACAGCACTGGTGCCAAAACTGAACCAGTCTGTCGCAATACTTTCCATAGGGGTCTCGTAGCCTGGTGGATAGCGCGCAGTACTCGTAATTCTGTGACGCGGGTTCGATTCCCGCACGAGGCAGAAACAAATGGGCAAAGTTTCTTTCACCCTGAATGCCCCTGTTACCTAGCAGTAAATAGGTACCTGGGTGTTAGTCAGCTGTCACGGGCTGCTTCCTGGGGGTGGAGGCCTGGTCAAGGACCGGGCCGCGGGGACGCTAAGCCCCGGAAGCACCTCAAGGTAACCTCAAGGTATCCCACTGGCTAATTTCAGGTGTTAAACCTTTGAGAGAATGTTGCTCAATGTTGCATAGATTTAAAAAAACATAAGTCACCTGATATCAAGAGTATTTACCTCACGGTAAAATTTGACACACATCACAACCTTTCTCACTGTCCATGGTGACGACAAGACATAAATATTAATGATTTCTGATTTAAAAAAAATGAATGATATTGTTAATAGGAAAGTCATATTGCATGAATTAGTAAACATGGACATAGGTGATCAACTATATTACAATTCTTCTGCAATTGTAGATGCAACAAGTGACCAGTGGGTACAACTAGGCCCTCTTCCGGAAGGAATGTTAACTCCAAACTTGTTCAAAACAGTAAAAAATGTCTTCCTGAAATCTATTCCAACGAGTCTCAAAAACATAGTTATAATACTAATAATATTATTATTTATATATGAAGACACATATCGGCTGGTTATATTATATTGTGTTAATATATAGTATAGAGCTACTATTTGTACATAAGACCATTATCCTCACACGAGGCATGCTATCCTGGTGATATCCTTGTACCCATTAAACACCCCCCCCCTTAACCATGAGATGCAAGTATATCACACTGCATACACACAGCTAATGAGAGACTCTCATTAGTCTCATAATCTCTACTGATATAATAAGACTCTCATTAGTCTCATAATCTCTACTGATATAATAAGACTCTCATTAGTCTCATAATCTCTACTGATATAATAAGCCTCTCATCAGTCTCATAATCTCTACTGATATAATAAGACTCTCATTAGTCTCATAATCTCTACTGATATAATAAGACTCTCATTAGTCTCATAATCTCTACTGATATAATAAGCTGCTCAACAAATTAATGATCGTGACTGTGAACACTTAACACAAAATATTACCAAACATACCAGTTGGTCATAGTTGAGATCGCTGTCTGCGTCTACTGTTTGTGCTCGGTTCCTCAAATACGATTTTGTCCATATAATTTCCATTTTTGTCTGTCATGCGGACCACGATGTAGTACTTTAATATTGATGAGGAGTTAATGAGTTAAAATCTGCATCAATAATGTGAAGACAGACTCATGGGCTCACTACTCTACACCAGACACGGTCTTATATTAAAGCAAAATATATTTACACTCAAAGTGCAGTCTTCAGAATAATATTTGGTTGACGAATAGCTGGAAAAGTTTGTATTATGCGGAAAAGAACTTGGTTAAGTAAGTATTCTAGACGGTATATTTAAGGTCAATCTTTTGAGTGGACCAAACCATTGCAAGGGAAGTAATTGTGTATCAATACAATGATTAGAATACACATCTTATCTTGAGGTTATCTTGAGATGATTTTGGGGTTTTAGTGTCCCCGCGGCCCGGTCCGCGACCAGGCCTCCACCCCCAGGAAGCAGCCCGTGACAGCTGACTAACTCCCAGGTACCTGTTTACTGCTAGGTAACAGGGGCATCAGGATGAAAGAAACTCTGCCCATCGTTTCTCGCCGGCGCCCGGGATCGAACCCGGGACCACAGGATCACGCGTCCAGTGTTCTGTCCGCTCAGCCACCGGCTTCCTGAAACAAACATTGAAACAAACGATTCAGGATGGACTCGAAGAAAGGCCACATGTAATAAGTTGAGATTGCACAAGTTATGCAACGTTGCATCAATGAAGAACATCATACCTTCCTGGCAGATAATGTCTTTTGACATCAATGATCCCCACTGTTAGGATTGTTTACATATACCACGTTTTAACATCAATTACATCAACGATACCCACAGGGTAAGATAGTTGGTAGATACCACCTTTGAACATCAACGATCCCTGCATTATATGGACTGTGTATATCATCGTATATACGCTTGAGTGGTGTGTCTGTATGAATACTGAACGTCCAGGTATTAAGCTTTTAGCTGCTGAAATAAGTTACCACTTAAATACGGGAGTTTTGTCAAGCACAGCGCACAATTGGGTTATTTTTACCGTCAAGACGGTAAAATATGACTGTTGATGTTGACCAGACCACACACTAGAAGGTGAAGGGACGACAACGTTTCGGTCCGTCCTGGACCATTCTCAAGTCGATTGTCGACTTGAGAATGGTCCAGGACGGACCGAAACGTCGTCGTCCCTTCACCTTCTAGTGTGTGATCGGGTCAACATACTTCAGCCACGTTATTGTGACTCCTCGCCTGCATAACTGTTGATTGATGAACTGGCCAAGGACTACCCCCCAGTGCTATTGAGAAGGAGGAGAAATACTACAAAATGAGACAGTAATAGACAGACGGAACAGGAATGAGAGATACAGAGGAATACAACAATTAGACAAACAGGAAGATAGACAGAGATGAAGCAGGAATAGAGAGAGAGAGAGACTGAGAGAGGTACACAGGTACACAGGTACTCAGACAGGAAGAGAGAGGCTACATAGAAGACAAAGGTACCTCGGAATAAACAATGAGGGCCAACACATGTAGGATATTGGGGGATTGAGTCGAGGAGCGACGGAGAACGTTACAGTGTCTAGGGAAGCTGGGTACAGTGTTGACAGGATGGTGGTAGGCAAGATATAGTGTTGTTGATAGTGTTATGGTGATTACCAATGGTGACTGTTATGTTGAGGGGTTACGGTGATAGTGGCTAGATTTGTGGCGTCGGTGGTGATGGTGGTGATGGTGATGGAGGTGGCCATGATGGTGATAGTGAGTGATAGTGCTGGTGGTAGTGGTGGCAATGGTTGGGTTGGTGGGACAGCCGTAGGAAGTTGTAGTGGTAGTGGTTGTAGTGGTGGTTGTAGTGGTGGTGTTGTATGGGGGGGGGGGTAGCAGCGTCTCTGGCAGGCAGGGCAGGCAAGCAGGTTCAGTGTGTCTCTGGTGGTGGGAGGAGGTGGATGTGCGCGCTCTCCGGATCCGGTTGAGTGTGAGTGTGTGTGTATGTGTGGAGGGGCAGGTGTGGAGGCCCAGCCCGTCCTCCTGAACACATGTGTACCATGTACAATGAGCCCAGCTGTTGAGCATATCTGTGTTATGTAATGTACAAAGTTCATTCGTCTTTTGCAAATCTTTAAACTTACTGGATGGGGCTCTAGAAGCCAGATGGTTGATGAAGGGAAAC